TTACCCGAATTTGAAAAATAGGAGGTCCCCCCAAGTATGCCAAACGATACACATGCTATCATGAGCGCCACAAGGAACCTAAATTAGCCACGACAAGGGATCAAAACGGATGTAATAGTCACACGACAAAATAGAATACTACATATGAACAATGCTAATTTCAAGAACAGTGATACTAACAATAATATTCAGTATGAATCTGATATTACTTAGGTGATCCTCAACCTCTATGTCCACACTATTGGAAGCCGAAAGATTTAAGTCAATTTTTACACTATTTCCATGTTGTATCATTTGAAATTTAGTGATTCATCCTAGCAATTCTGACACTTTCCAATATTAACCATCCAATACCGCCAGTTGCTTCGGTAATTGGTACCATTTGTACATACAACTATCTTACAGAAATAGAAGAAACAAAATTACCATGAGGGTAAGAAATATTGGGTTTAGAACATACGTGCCAATGTTCTTCTCAAGCTGAATATTGAACAGGTAAAGAAACCTTGCAAGACCCCATCTGATATCTTGAAAAGAAGGAACGGAGACGTCCAACTTGAGAGGAGTAGGTAGAGAGTTCGATGCACAAGCAAAAGGCAAGCCAGCCCCCACTGAGTTCTGAACGAGGGGGGGAAGCTCTTGACATATCTTTTGCGCTATCTTGAACACCACATACAGTGGGATGCATCCTATCACCAGTTTATATGGAAACCTCTGCATATTAAGAAGATTATATCTTAAGCATACGAAATATTTCATCTTGCTAACTAAACAAGAAGCAAGCACATTGAAAGACATCAAATACACAGTAAACACAATGAGCTAAGACTCATCCTTAAAAAACGGGTGTATATAAGATATCAGAATAATCATCAGAGGAAAAAAAAAATACAGAACGTGGTGCAGCCTAGAACCTCTTAAACACGAAAGGAACAAATTATTCGACTTGTTCTGCACAGTACAGGACCAAGAAAAAAAAGGATAAAGACATGACACTGGACATGGTTTAGCTTCACCTTATGAAATTTGGAATTGAAATCATTCAGGTTAACACTAGACGGCTTAGTGTCTCCTGTCCTCTGAGATTTGACTTTGAAGGTTCCTGTAGTATAGGAAGAACATGAAAAATGAGACCCAAAAGAATTGCATTAAAATCCTTTATTGTAGTAAACCTCACCTGGGGATCTAAAAGACTCAATCCCACCTAAAGGTAGAGACTTTAAACTCAAGCTCCTGCAAAAATAAAAAATTGTAAGCATTAAATACACAATGCGACTAAAACTCAGTTTTGGATTATAGTCCCAAATTCAATTCCAACTTAAACCCTAAACCCAGATTCAGAACTTCCATTAAAACTCCAAAAATTAAGAAGCATCGTCATTTCTA